CATATCTATCTATCTATCTATCTATCTATCTATCTATCTATATATATATCTATATATATATATATATATATATATGTTTGCATTCTTTTTGTTTAATAATGTCATTTGCCATTGGTAACAAAGAACTGAATGCACACAGCCAGCTTTGTAACTTTCATTCATACAGTTTTTTTCCACAACTATCTTCTCAACATGCAAACTGTGGTCAGTTAAACTATTACTTACGAGCTGTAAACTCAGCAATTCCACCAGTCTCATATAAAGCTCTCCTCAGAATACAGAAACGCATGAAAAAGACTGGAGTCTAAGTAGAAAGTTATGGACATCATGGTCGATCCAACTTGAGCAAATACTTCTGTCATGTGACAACAAAGAATACTTCCTCTCTTCCCCATCCCCCTTCCAAGACGAAACGTTACCAATTTCAACGAGGAACGTCAATCAAATACAAGGAGAGAAATAAAAATAAATTATGAAAATAAAGGGGAATTAAAGGGGAAATAAAGGCCTATCTCACTCAACACGTCGCTAAAAACAATCATTCTTAGGCCTGAGATTTCAGATTTTTGATTATTACAAAAGTAGAAAAAAAAGAAGAGATAAGCACCTGATTCCACCATGATGTGACGACACATTTGTGATAACAAATACGGAAATAAATAAGTTGAATGCTACGATGATAAATACTTTCCTAAATGCGACGAAATGCCTCTGAACACGGAGGGGCAAACTTTGATTTCAGGAGCAAAATGGCCATTTTCACACAGTACACAAAATGTGAGGTGGCGTGGTGGAATCAGGCTCTCGTCAATTTTTGGGCATATTGAGTTATTGGTACTGGTATCATCCTAACGCATGTTCATTTGTCTTGCTTTCAATGAAAAAATTCCCCATCCATCTCCAATAGAATTGGAGATATTTTGGGCTGAAGGAGGTGGGGGTCACCTGGTCTAAGAGGTAAAATTAGCGAGAAAATGGCCGCCAAAGCTTGGTAAATTCCAAAGCTGAAGAGTCCTTGGAAACTGTAAATTTATATTTTTGTGCCTTTAATCAACGTTTTCGGAGAAATCCTCAAAGAAATGTGTTTGTAAATGGACATAAAAGGTGTTGAGCCAAAAAAAAAAAAAAAAAAAAAAGATAAAAATTGCTAAGCGGGGAGAAAACTGCTGTTTTCTTCGATTTCATTATTTTGACGAGAGCCTGATTCCACCACGCTGCCTCACAAATGTTAAATTCAGCAGTCACAGTTTGGGTCAAACCTCAGACAGAAGTAGATATCTACACAAGTATGTGTTGGATACAACAGAGACCAAAGGTGTGGAGAGCTATGAAAACTAAAAAAAACACAACAAAAAACCCCCCAAAAAGTACCAAAATTCCCTGTTGGGGATTCGAACCATGGTCATTTAGAGACACGGGGACGCTAGGATTGACATAATTTTTTTTTTTATTTTTTAAAATGTAGGTGTTTTACGCCTTCATCTACACAATTTAGATCATTTCGGCGCCAGGCTTCCTACTTTGCCTGCCATGGCCATCCTGGGATAAGAAGGATACAACATCCCAGCAAAAAGACTGAGACGCTCAATAGAAATCCTCTCCAAAGCCGGAATCAAACTCAAAGTAACCGCTACGCAACAGTTATGCTGGCACTCTCTCTCTGAAACCCACGCATAATGAGACTAAGCCCAAGACAGCTGAACAGAGGGAAAGTAAAGAAGTAGGACCTATCAGTGCACCCTCCAACCACCCACACAGACAGAAACAACAGAGGGAAAGTAAAGAAAGTAGGACCTACCAGTGGCACCCTCCAACCATCCACACAGACAGAAACAACAGAGGGAAAGTAAAGAAAGTAGGACCTACCAGTGGCACCCTCCACCCACCCACTGGGATATGGAGACGTACTGGTACATGTAGAGGCAAGCGTGTGTCACAGCGCGGTGGAATCAGGCTCTCGTCAATTTTGAACAATCGGGGTTGTTGGTATCATTTTAAAGCTTGTTCATTTGTCTTGCTTTGGATGAAACAGTACCACACCACCTCTTTAACTGCCCAACACTTTGTGACCTGCGTAGCACCTACCTCCCTGTCTCCCCAGACATCGAAAATACTCAATACAGCGACAAAGCACAGCTGATTAAAGCCTGCAAATTCTTTGCCATATTGACAGACCGAAGGGCTAGAACCCAAATGGCCGCTGGATCGGAAAAGTAAAGTAAGTCTTGCTTTAGGGGTTTTGTTTAATATGAACAAATACCCGTCTATCTCGCATACAAGTAGAGATGTTTGCGATTGAAGAAGATGGGGGGGGGGGGGGGGGGGTGTCTTCTTGTCAGCTATAAAATGAATGAGCAATCAGCCCCGAAAGTTTGGTTGTCAGCTATAAAATTAGTGAACAATCAGCCCCTACAGTTTGGTTGTCAGCTACAAAATTAGTGAACAATCAGTCCCTAAAGTTTGGTTGTCAGCTACAAAATTAGTGAACAATCAGTCCCTACAGTTTGGTTGTCAGCTATAAAATTAGTGAGCAA